TAGGGCTGACACTAGCATGCTCATTGATGATAGAGATATTTTGTGTGGAGATGCTACCAAGAAGTGCCACTCTGATAGTCAATATCCATGCCCAAGTTTATGCTCCAAGAAGGGAACTTGTAATCTGGAAAAGAAGAAATGCGACTGTCAACCTGGCTATTATGACAATAATTGTTCAATTGGAAGAGCTAAATATTCATTGAACATTCTTTCAAATTCTGTTTCGTTCAATAATTTGTATATTAGTGGAAGAGATACTGTTGTTTTGGAAGTTAACATTCAAGAAAGAACTTCTCTATTGGATCTTTACTTGGAAGTCAATCGTATTGGAAAGTATGGAAATCCATTCGTTTTCATGAATGTTTCAACAACAGCTGATGCATTATCGAGTAGAGAATTGAAACTCTTGGCTGTGAAACAAATCGGTTACAGTTTATTGAATGGATATAAGAGTACAAGATCAGAAGCTCAATCCAGCCACGAACACTACTTTTACACAGGTTACAAGACTTTCCAATTTTACAACACTTCACATGATTCAAGGAAAATTATCGACGCCCAAGATGTTCAAATTATAAGAAATGAATTCCAAACCATTGCCATTGTCATTTACAATGCTGCTGATTTACCAGTCGAATTCAATGTAACATTGAGTAAGTTTATCAATATTTCACAATTTCTCATTATCAATTTCTTAAATAGAGGCCAATCTTGCAAGTGGAAAGGTTCAAACAGCTGGCATCTTTTTATCTCTGAGTGTGGTCATGCTCATGGTTATTGTCTTTGAGGTTGTCTTACTCATTCAACGATCCAACAACCGCAAACAATTCATTCTTCCAAAACTACAGGAAAGACAAGATATTCAAAGAAGAGGACTCTTGGAAAATAACAATTCACTTGTGGATGAGGATGAAAATTCAGAAGTGTTACGACAACGAAATAATTAATTGAAATATTTAATGAAAATTGTTCAATAAGTTATTTGTGTGTTCATATAATTACGAAATTATTTCATATACGAATGTTTTGGAAGTAACAGACCAGTTTATTTATCAATGAGTATTGATGACGAATCAACTAAATGTTTCTTTGATTTACAGAACTTTGTATTTTTTCACAAACGAAAGTGGACGAATCAACACGATTATAATAATTCGTTCCAATAATCAATTGCCATTTCAAAATCTCAATTTCTCTCATCAAATTCCCAAAATACTTTTCATCATTAAAAAAATGTCACAAGTCAAAACTGTTATTCTTTTGCTCTTGATCGCTTTGGCATCCGCCGTTGCTGTCAACGCTTCCTTGGATACCTTCGACATGTTGAGTGATTTCATCTCCATGTCCGATCTCTCTCCAAGAAGATCTTCTTCTTCCTCTTCTTCCAGCAGAAGACCAACTAGTTCCTCTTCTTATAGAAGACCAACCAGTTCTTATAACAGAAGACCAACCACCAGTAATAACAGAAGACCAACTTCTTATAACAGAAGACCAACTACTACTACTAACAATAGAAGAAGACCAACTTCAAACACTAGAAGACCAACTAGTAGTAATAATAGAAGACAACCAACTAATAGAAGACCAACTAGACCAACTAGAACTAATGTTAGAAATGGTTCTAATAATAATAGAAGAAAGCCAAGTAATAGTGTTAGACCTGGAATGAGTAATCAAAGATTTTCTCAATATAGAAATACTCAATCCAAACCATATGGTGCTAATACTCAATCTAATCAACCAGCTCGTCAACCAACTCGTCAACCAACAACTGCTCAACAACCAGCTCAACAAAACATTCGTTCAACTGCTCCTAGCTCACAAGTTGTCCAATCTGCCATGAGCAATGTTAGATCTGCTTCTCACAGCCAATCTCAAGGTAAATGTGCCAAATATACTGCCAATGCCATTGAAAAGGCCTTGACTGGTAAGACTTACACAATTAATCGTCCAGGTTCTGCTAAGGATTTCGGTTCTTGGTTACAAAAGATGGGTTATCAAAAGGTTAGTGGACCAATGCAACCTGGTGATGTCCAAATCTTCCAAGCTATTCCTGGACATCCTGATGGTCACATGCAAATGTTGACTTCTGGTGGTCAATTTGTTTCTGATTTTAGACAAAGAGATATGTATCCTGGACCAAGTTACAGAAATACTCACCAAGTTCCAGCCAACTACAGATATGTTGGTAATCAATAAATCATTTGTAGATTTTGGAACAATTATTGAGTGGCTTTTACTTTTCTGAATTACTAAGATTAATATTTCCAACCAAAAGTAATAACAACAAAATAATTTCATTTGTTTCCAATTTGTTAATTATTGAAATGAAGTATTCTATTCAGAAATATTTTCAGTTTGAATTTGGCTTTGTCTATGGAGAGTAAACGGAAAATTTAACATTAGCAATACTATTAAGGAGGAGGAGCAGATAGATGGGATTCATAATGGTTTTAACTAAAAATTCGTTGTCGCTTAAAAACCAGGTCCCTTAATAAAATACAAGACTTGAAGTAATACATTCAAAATTAATTTTGATTTGTGGTTGGTCAACATTTTTCCGTTCCAACATTTTTAAATTATTTAAATTATTTAAATTAAAAAATAAGAGCCTTCGTGTGCTTTGTTCAGCGTTCATCATCATGTAAAGACGCAAACCTGTTTTCTTGCCTGTGTTGGAGGTTATTTATACTTCATCAACAACAAAGGAGGATTGTAAAAATAGGGTTGAGAATTCACGTTCTTTTGCTTTGGCAAACGTGATTGCTTGCTTTTGTTTTAAAACAGAGCCAACACGTTCTTATTAATAGAAACCATCAAATCAAAGAAAAAAGTAGAAGAACAACATCAAATAATGAAGACTCCACAACTCAAATCCAAGGAAAGATATATTGTAGTTGATAAATATCCAGCTGCCAGAAATGTTTTACTTCATTCACTTCCTCAGAATCCTTCGTTCACTTCTAGACTTGTTCAATATGATCATGATTTTGCTATCCATGTTGGTGCTGAGCTGGAGATCATCCAAGATTGCTCTTGGATTAGTAATGATTCAGCTCAAGTAGTGGACAATTCACAAGACAAATATATTGTAGGATCTGGTCTCTTGTTGAGAAAGAATGGGAAATACTTCTTCATGCAAAATAAGGCCTCAATTGGAAAGGTTATGTTTATTTTCACAATTCTTGAGCTTGACGTATTTAAAAGAGAACTGGACGATGAAGTGAAGGAGTTACTTCAGAAATGTGTTAAACAATTTGAGGGAGAAGAATTAGAACATTTGAAAGATGCTATCAATGGTGGGGATTCATTTTCCCAATTTTTATTCAAAGGCAGAAAGAAGGAAAATGTAAAACATTTCTTTGAAAAGTATAGGAATATTCTATTAGAATTAGATCTATCACAACATCCTACAGATA